GTTGCCTTGTGTATGAAATTGTGCTATATAATTAAACTTGCCTTGCCTAGGTTGACTCAAACTCACAAACAAACATAAGGTTTATAAGGTTCTTCTTATAAGACAAGCGTGAAAAGAAGCTCGTACTGCTTCCTTTTATGAACATCAGAAGGATTGCGAAAAATAAATAGCAGCACAACTATTGAGTTCATCCAAGGAAAAAAAAAAATAATCAAAGGAAAACCTCATATCAGCAATATCTGACCACCGCTACGAGAAACAATTAAAATCAGGAAGTGGGGTGCTGTGGCGAGGGAACTTCAACTTGGCTCACAATTGGGACTCACTTCTCCAAAGAACACAACTCTGCGGGGGCATGGTCAGTCTTACGGATCCAGAAACAACAGCTGATAATAGACACGTCACAGTCATGTGTCACCTATGAAGGTGGAAGTCTACCGTCAAAACTTGTCAGGTAATTAAGCAGCACTAGCTTCTATACACTTTTGTCATATTAGGAGAACCTTCTATACATGAAAGAAAATATAATGAACATGAGTGAGTTTCTTCCAATACATGTTTATTTGACAATTCTATTTCTGCTGAAGGGCAGATGCCAAGCTCGAGACTAAGGGAACACATTTAGTTAAAAGAAATGTTGAACAAGAATTTTTTTGATAATGTGAGTTCACAAAGTTACCATATTATTGATGATGTGAAGAACTTTCTACTCGCCAACATCATGCTGTGTTTTTTTGTTTTGTAGACTGCAGTTCATAGGCACTGACAAAGATGTTGAACTTTCTGACTGTGTTTCATATACATGTAGATCGGCCAAAACGTTGATCTATAGGTTCTTTGCAATGTTTTGTCTTAAAAACAACCTATAGCAGAAGAATTAACCTGCATGGAATATCCAATCTAGAAGTTATGAGGACAGTTGTTTTCTAAATCTATTTTTACAATGATTCATTTAAATTATGACGTTCATTTACCCTTAACTTGCACTCAGAAATCCTTCTTATCATTATCCATGCAACACCATCCCAAAAGTATGCCAGATAACTAGCTTAGACCCGGGACAAAGTTATTGCTTCGTAAATGCAATGCAACAACCTCCTTCATTCATCTACGCAACCAAAATAGGACCATAGATTATGCAAGTCGGGAAAACAGCACTTGGCATGAAAAGCAAAACGGATTTATGGCGGTCATCATTGTTTTCCGCAGAACTAATCATAGACGACTAATAAACACTGCAGACTACACTTCGGGGTCAAACGCTATGCTCTCCAACAGGCTGCGAGTGTAGGAGGCTGGAGCGCAGAGAAGAGCTACTAAGAGTAATGATACCAAATCACCAGGGCGTTTGTCGTAGGCAGAAAGAAATTAATAAGAACCAAATAATAGCGAGCTACATTTAGAGTACAGAGCGGGCTTTTACCGGTAGAGGGGAAAGATGTATGAGCTGAGAACATTTAGGGACTATAACAGATAAGGACTGGAAATGCACACTTTTACCTCGGGTACCATTAAGTCGTCCATGGAATATAGAACTGTTTTTAAATAGTGGTATAACAATGGTATACAATTGCGTTTACATTAGACATTATACTTTTTGTGTGCTGGGTAAAGACATAAGCAGCTACACTTTCTCATCACTATCATACACAGATTTAGAACAGTTGAAATATCAGGGTTGATCTGAAGCGATGCAATAGTTCTAAATGTGTTCAATTGTCATAAAGTTTTTCCCATAGTAGGAGCCTGGGTGAAACTGTAGCCCTGACCACATTCACTGCTGATCCAGTAAACTGTTCGGCAGAAGTTAACATAGACGGTCCACAGGAGTGACCACCCACTTTAGAAGAACTGAATCTCCTCAGCAGGTTCAATCTTATTTACAAATCTACAGTTATCTCTCCGATCCAAAGATGTGCTGTCACTTTCAACCATTCATGCACACACCAGATTCATTCAAGGCAATGTGGGTGAAGTGTCTGGTCTAAGGACACAACAACAATTTGGCACTTTACAGATGTAGTAGCCCCTGTGTGGCACCTGGAGTTTCCACAAGTCTCCCATCACAGTATTAACCAGGCCCTGTCCTGCCTAGCCTCAGAAGTTTGACAGGATTGGGTCTTATATGGCGCATAATAATGCTACAACCTTGTAACACGGAAAAAAGGAAGTAGTGAACAAAGTAGAGAGTAAGGCGATGCAGAAGCAGTGAATACAGTCAGTGAATATTACATAGAGTAATAGCATCTTATTCAAACGTGCCAATGAAAAGTTAACTTTGGATAAAAGGTAACCAGTGAGCTTTGCATCCATCCAAAGTGCGTTGTCAGACCACTCTTCTCGCTCCTCCATCTGCAGTCTACCCGCTGACAGCATGCCGGGTTAGAGCAGCAAATGGATATTTTGTTGGCCAGGTATATCTTAAAACAATCAGGGCCTTGATGAATTGGCTGGACAGCTGATGTATGGCTGTATAGCAGGGGGATCCGGAGAAGGTTTGAGTCAGGAAAATACACCTCATCAATCAGCGTGATTAAAGGATTTGGCCACGTCCAAACAAACTGCATACAGCTAGGGCTCGGACCTTAAAGGCATAGTCCAACCATTCCCCCAGCAACAGTTCTACACACAGAGGGTGTACGACTACGTGAGAAATAGACAGAAAGTGTGGTCACTTTCAACACCTGTACCACATCAGTACCACAAAGTGCAATAGAGAGGAATGATAAAGAGAGCCAATGTCCGCAGCAGTACAGTTTGGTATTGTGGCAGGTCAGACAGAAGTCAGAAGAGTCCAAGGTTTGTTCAGAAAACCATCAGTTCTTTTAAACTCATCAAACACGGAACTAATAAATCATAGAAGCCTAGTTTTACCACCATAAAAATTGCCAGGCTGAGGCAAAGTAAATCTGAACCATGACTCAACCATGACTCAACCAGGACTCAACCAGGACCCAACCAGTCCAGAACCAAACCAAGACTGAACCATATGCTGGGTAACTGGAGCCAGTCTGAGACTCATACATCTCTAGTCTTTAGAACAAAATAAAGAATCAGTAAATTATTTAATTTGATTTATTGTTCATTTGGTTGGGACAGTGCGTGTTAATGAACACACCTTTACGGATTGCAGCCTTGGGCTAGTTTTCATTCTTTGTCCAGCAGCCAAACTCACAAACACATACTTAATAACCTTGAACTATTTTATTACTACTTATTTTTAAGTAGGTTTCCTCCAGGGCAAAGGCCCTGCTGGGAATCGAATCCAAGACCTTCTTGCTGTGAAACACAAACACTAACCGTTGCACCAGAAATAACGCAATTAAACCAACTTCATTATCATGTTTTAAATAAAAAGAGGGTGCTGACTGAGGGGTGTTTATAATAGTGATAATACAAGTAATTCTAGCAAAGCAGAGGTAACCAGAAAGCAGCAGAGGGAATGCCAATGTAAGTCAAATGTAAAACAACCCATAGTTTACTCTCTTGTGTCCTGTATCACACCACAATACATCTTATTCACAGCATATGTTAAGCAAAACATAATCCGCCTTTACAGCAAAACAGTCCTGCCTTTGATAATGACATGTTGGCAGGGCCATACATTCTATTACATACCCGCCTTACATACACCCTCCTCAGACAAACGCCCACATTAGCAGAGTGTGCGTGCCCTGTGGCCAAATCCATTGTATCCCCAGCCTCCGTGAACCATAAATACAGCTTGGAGTCAGCATCTCTGCATATTTAAAGGCGCCTAATGGATTCTGTACAAACATTGACTGTGCACTCTCAGCGGCAGGAAGGACAGTGTCTAGCCGTGGATCTGACAGAGTGGTAATAGAAGGTCAGATGTTTTAGCCAATAGAATGGTTCGTCAACTCCACGTATCCAATCTCTTCCCAGAACATCATATCATATTTTCCTAATTTTCTTTGTTTTGTTTAAGTCTAGGGGGAATCTTTAATCATATACATAAAACAAAACAACATAATCAGGTAAACATGATACAAAGGGTTAAAATGAATACTCAAGTCACAGCCATCAAATGTTAGCCACATCATGAGTAAAAGTAAAAGAGAATACCATCTGTGTGCCCTGCTTAATATAATTCTGTTTGTGCTTTTTAAAAGGGCAACATTCAAGACAGTGACTCAATAAGAGCAAAACTAGTGAAAATGGCTTGGGCAAAGGGAAATTCAAACAAGATTAATTCTCTGTATTCAATGGTAAGGTTATTGTCAAGTAAATCATCATCGACATTCAAACCTCACATAAGTTTTTGCTTCTATAAATATGAAACATGGAGGATTATTCTGCCCATATATAATCAAGATATCAATTTTTTTGTTGGATTTCAATCAATTACTTAGATTGACCCATGACAATTCTTGGTATAGATTGGCATGTTTAGGATATCACAAGGAAGCTGCGGTTCAAAGGCTGCGGGATGCAAAGTAATAAAATGATATTATTTATTTTTTACTGTGCTTTGTGTAATAGACTATAGATTGAACAAAAGCAGAAAAAAACAAACAGATTACATAAAATAGTGTAATGGGGCTCAGGGTAATAGGAACAACTAAATCATATCTGATAGAGCATTGCTAGAAACACAGGACATTGTTGGCCTAACTAAAAATAAGAGCTGAAAAACAATTGCATTATCTCATACTGACGCATACATTTACAACTTTTGAGGTCTAAAAATATTGAAGACACTTCTTTCAAGATGCATTTTTCATTCCATTACAACCCGATAACCAGCTTTCTTCCATGTCTCTAAATCAATTTGTCTAAAAGGGGTCACAAGCACCTGCCGAAGATATCACATTTCCAAAGTGCAAATTGAGGAGAAAAAAACATCTTGAGTTGAGAAAAATTACATTAACTGAAACATGATTCGTATCTATTTTTTACGTAACAAGAAAAAAAGCATCACTAGCCATAGAGCGGTATGCAAAGAAGCTCCATCAAAACCGACGGGGCATTGATCTAATTTATAAACGCAAGTCTCGGTTTCCAATATAGAGGTGCCCTGTGGGTGTGGAGTGACAACCCAACATCAGGAACAGGGGGAGATGGGAATTAGAGCGATAAGACGAGATGAGCAAGTCTGTGCAGAATGAGAAGGGAAATGAGAAATGAGAGCCGACAGTGCTGTTGACGAATGGAAGAGCAATCGTGACAACCACAGAGCTCGGTCCCACCTCAGGGAACTCGGAAGAACTTCAGAAAAGCACCATGTTGCGATGCTAATATGGAAGCTAATTGATGATGCAATTACGAGAGGGAGACACAAGCAGTTGCTCTATAGCCTCTCTGGCCAATGAAAGACATTCACAAAACTTTGACTTGGCTTTTGGTAATATCCAAATGAAAGCTGGGGTTCATGACTTTTTTTTGTATCGTAAGTTATTGTTTGTCCCAACAAAAAGAGTCTTGTAAAAGTACATTTTGAAAACAAAGCTGACCACAATATGCAGCCTTTGGTCAGAGATTTGATACTGCTATAGGCTGAGAGACGTTTGTCTACATTTCTGTCTGAAAATGGCACTCGTGTGAAGGGGGTTGATAGACTGCAAGAAAGACCACAGAAATAACACTAACACTAATAACACTTGCAAAAGCAGATTTCAAATGTCACATAGACCTATGCAGTCAAGTCAACACATCTCAAAAAAACCTTATACAAATCTGAGCAGACAGCGTTTGTACATCTTTCCATCTCCCAGCATTTCAAACCAGCAATTGATCGGATAATAAATGATAGATCTCAGTGACTTACCTAGGACGCCCAGTCTGTAGTTGACGGTGATGACGATGACGTTTCCGTAACTGGCCAGTATACTTCCATCAAACATGTTCCCAGTTCCTTCCATGTAAGATCCCCCGTGGATGAAGACCATCACGGGCTTGGGACTCCCGCTCTCCCTGATGTCTATGGAGGGGTAAGAAGGAGCATCGAAATTAGACAATGAATGAGAATTGACAGCAGTCTTACTCCTTAATGCTTTTGGCAAACTGGCTGCAAGTTCTTCATTATTGTTTTTTTTTTTCAAAGTTGTTAATTTGAAGGCGTCAAACCATCCCTCCCCCTGTGATTGAAAGCTTGTATCTTATTTATTTGTGAATGCGCTTTTGTCGCGATAATATGCAGGTTTTAATGAAAGCGGGCAGCTGTAGATCCGCCGAGTTTTTAATTTTCCGGCGGACGATTGACTGTCAACTTGCAAGAGTGGCAATCCGAGCTGTCATATTATGTGCAGGCTGTACAATTAAACAGGGAACAAGATATAATGAAAAACAGCACATTGGATTTGACGTGTTTATGAAAATGGAAGGCATTATTGGAACTTTGAGACGCGAGTGAGTGTGAGGGGTTGCAGTTTGATGGAATATTAACTAAGTTTCCTTGAATATTGGATTGCGAATGTGTCAGAATCGGTGAACGGTTTTAGGCTTGAGCATCTTTTATTTGTTGTATTTCAGACAAATTCCACTTTGCTTGCTATCGTAAAAGCACATAAGTGAAAAAAATATTGGCCATTGTGGCACCATTTTATCTTATTTTATTTTTTGAGACACCATTTTTAGACACATATAATTGTATGCTTCCAATGAATAGGAAAATAAACATAAAACATAAAGTTTAAATCATCTATTTATTCACCTGTGGTATACCACAAGAGTCAAACACAAGACCAGAGGGCCAAACGCAGCTGGTCTTGTGTTTGACCAGACCGTTTATAGTGGCCCCTGAAATCTTCATTAATTATTCAAATTAACTTGATGGTAAGGATAATATGGTGTGTTGTATCTCATTTTAAAACTGGTTTTCTAAAGAAAAACACCATATGTTAAATTTATTTTTAAAATCACAATAAATCATCTGCCGATCTTTTAAATTTAACCCAGTTTTGGTTCAGTCCAAACATCCAGTAACTGAACTAGATTTGTTGAGAAAATTAAAAAAAAAAAAAATCAAATAAATATGTTCAGAGATGCAAAGATGGTCTTCAAATCCTGTTACACTTTTGGCATCCCGCCCCCTGAACCGTACTGTAACTGTAGTTATTTTGTATTTCACCACAACACAAAACAACAACTTGTATGCAACAACCATGTGGTTGTTTTACTCTGATGATGTCCATTTACTTTTGCACGTTATTGCATAGCTTTGACCTGACATTGTTTCTTTTCATTTATAGTATAATTTGTTCCTCAATTGTGCTGTTATCTGGAGAAATGATGATACAGATGAACATTGTTTCCCGCTGACTTTCCTC